ACAGCACCCGCTGCTCTAGCTAATTGTCCACCCTTTCCAAGTGTTATTTCTATGTTATGTATGGCCGTGCCTAAGGGCATATCGGTTGAAGTAGATTCGTCTTTTTGATCAATCAAAACCCCTTCCCAAACTGTACAAGCTTCTTCCAAAGCATACGGCTTTCTGGATGTAGATTAGAATATCTATACAGATACATCTTATATATCGTTTATTTCGTATATTATATATGACATAACGAAGTACCATACCACATGAGTGGATATATAATATACGAATCCAAATATTCTGAATGACTCATGTTATGATCTTCTACATCCTAGGTCTTTCTGTTCCTTCATCTGGCTTATGTTCTTCATGTAGCATTCAGACCGAATGACTCTATGAAATTACGTTGCTACTTAGACATAGTACGGGTAACGTAGGAGACATTTCTATTTTTTCCCGGGGGAATCCTTAGAATTACCACTGCTTAGCTTTCAATTTGCCTTTGACCATCAAATGAAATGTGAATAATCTGTGTCTTCCCCCCTTTGTTTTTTGAAACGAGGAGCACTTCGTGTTCTGTCGGTGCTTGAAACAATTTTGTCTTCTCCATATTACTATATCTCTAGGGTCAATAATTTTATATTAGGAACTACTGAACTCAATCACTTGCTGCTGTTACTCTTCAGTTTTCTGTTGAAGTCTATCCTGTAGAGGTACTCAAATAGGATCAGTGATCGATTTCTAGGTTTCGCCTTAAACCTAATACTTCCAATTACGTAAATCTATAGTTCAAACCGCACTCAAAGGTAGGGCATTTCCCATTTTTATAGGAACTTTTGTACCATAAATAATGGTATCTCCAATTATAGCCCCTCTGGGGTGTAAAATATATCTTTTCTCACCATCCCCATAGTGTATGAGACAAATGTGTGCATTTCGATTAGGGTCGTATTCGATAGTTACAATTCTACCATATATGTCTTTTTCATTGCGTCGAAAATCAATTTTACGGTATAGACGCTTATGACCTCCCCCTCTATGCCCTGCGGTAATGATTCCTCTGGCATTACGCCCTTTACCACAATGATGCTGTCCAGAAATCAAACGATTTCGTGAATTGGATTTCACTTGACTGTTTACGGCTCCATTGCGTGTGTTCGGGCTAGAAGTTTTGGATAAATGTATCGCCATGTTATGAAGTGTATTTTTATTTAAGTTATTTTCTTTCTAAGAGGTGGAATAGAATAACCCGGTTGAAGCGTAATGATCATACGTTTGTAATGCCTTGTATGTCCCATAATAGGTCGTATTCTTCTACCCTTTATTGGGATTGCGAGTTGATTCATAGTTCTTACCTTGACACCAAAGAAGAGTTCGACCCAATGTTTTCTTTCTGTCCTAGTTAATCCTGATTTGACATGAAAAGTATATTGATTTTTTCGAAATAACGAAAATTTAGTGTCTGTAAATACTGCAGATTTTATTCCATTCATAAATCTATTTTATTCTTTCTTCCCGATGAGTTCTAGTCTCACTAAAAATACTAGTTTTTTTACTGTTCATTTATTAAAATTTGAATATACCACACCAATTTGTTATGTATGGATGATGAGATTCCATTGATACAGATCCAAGTCTCGATTCAAATACTACTAAGCTAAGAGGTCTACTACAGATCAGAAATTATTTAAATAGAATAAATAAAGAAATTCTTTCTTTATTTAGAAATGATCAATTCTTGAAGTTTCTATTATTTTCAAATTCAATTATTAAAGAAAGAAGAAGATGTTTCTTTTTTTCTTTGGAGGAAATTGGAAAAGAAAGAAATAGCCAATATAGTCAAGATAATCATGTATTTACAAAATAATGTCTCAATTCATCCTATATTCATCCGATGGAGGATGTGATAGGATTGCAAAGGAGAAACTTTTGACAGTTCAAAATAATAATTCATGATTAAAAATATAGTTTTTAGGGGAGATATTTCTATTGGCATGCATCCAGTAGGAATTGAACCTACGACTTCGCCAATTATGAGTTGGGCGCTTTAACCATTCAGCCATGGATGCTTCGAGGGAACAACCCTCCGACTTGATGAATAACCAAATTTCAATTGAAGTGAAATCTTTTGGATAAATCAATAGAAATACATACATAAAGAAATAACTTAATAGAAATACATACATAAAGAAATAACTTAATAGAAATACATACATAAAGAAATAACTTAATAGAAATACATACATAAATAAATAACTTAATAGAAATACATACATAAAGAAATAACTTAATAGAAATACATACATAAATAAATAACTTAATAGAAATACATACATAAAGAGATAAATTATTTTTAATTTTTTAAGGAGGATCCTATGAAGAACAATCAATTCCACTTTTGGATTTTCGAATTGCGAGAAATTTTTAGAGAGAGCAAGAATTGTGCCTATTTCTTAGATTCCTGGACGCAATTCAATTCAGCGATATCTGTCATTCACATTTTTTTGCATCAAGAGAGTTTGATAAAAGTCTTAGACTCCAGAATTTGGAGTATCCTAGTTTCACGTCAGTCACAGGGTTTAACAAGAAATCGATATTTCACGATCAAGAATGTAGTACTTTTTGTAGTAGCGATCCTTCTATATCGTATTAACAATCGAAGGATGATCGAAAAAAAAAATATTTATTTGACAGGGCTTCTTCCTATACAAATAAATTCCATTGGATCCGGCAATGATAGATTGGAAGACTCAAAAGATTCGTTCAATATCAATAGGTTGATTGTTCCGCTCCTGTCTGGTCCAAAAGAAAAAAAGATCTCTGATCGCTCTTTTTTCTCGGACAGATGGTCCCAACTTCATCTGGATTTGAATCCTACTGAGAAGTCCGCTCAAGATCTTCAATTATTAAAGAAAGAAGAAGATGTTTCTTTTGTTCTTTGGAGGAAATTGGAAAAGAAAGAACTAGCCAATATAGTCAAGATAATCATGTATTTACAAAATAATGTCTCAATTCATCCTATTTCATCCGATGGAGGATGTGATAGGATTGCAAAGGAGAAACTTTTGACAGTTCAAAATAATAATTCATTCTTGACCAAAAATCTAGTTTTTGGTTTATTTCATCTATTCCATGACCAGAATAGGGGGGGGTACTTGTTACATCGCAATTTTCAATCAGAAGAGAGATTTCAAGAAATGGCAAATCTATTTAATCTATCACTAACTAAGCCGGATCTGGTCTATCGTAATGGATTCTCTTTTTCTATTGGGTTTTCTGAACCGGAATCAAAAAAAAAATCTTTATTGGTTCTGCCGCGGCTTTTTGACGAAGCGAATGAATCTTTTTATCCAAAGATCATAAAAAAATGGGTCCAGACCTCTTGTGGGAATTATTTTCAAGGTAATCGATTCAATCGCAACTTCGAATATGTACTTCAAAGGTATCAAAATGATATTCTGAATCATAGACCTATAAGGAAACACACGATCAATCAACGTTTCTCAAATTTGAAAAAGAGTCAGAAGAAATGCTTTGATCGTCTTATTTTTATTTATCGAACCGAGAGATCCGTGAATAAGGATCCAAATGCATATAAATACAAATGGTCCAAGGGGAGCACAAATTTCCAGGAACATTTGGACCATTTCATTTCTGAGCAGAATAGTCGTTTTAAAGTAGTGTTCGATCGATTACATATGAATGCATATTCGATTGATTGGGCTGAGGTTATCGACAAAAAAGATTTTTCTAAGTCACTTTGTTTCTTTTTGTCCAAGCTTCTTCCCTTTTTGTCTAACTCACTTCCTTTTTTCTTTGTGAGTTTCGGGAGTATGCCCGTTCATAGGTCCCAGAGCCATATGTATGAATTGAAACGTATGAATGAGGCACTCGAGAATCAGTTGTTAGAATCAATAGGTCTGCAAACGGTTCATTTGAAAAAAAGGAAATCCCCATTATTGGATGACTATTATACTTCTCAAAAATCAAAATTCTTGATCAATGAAGGAACAATATTACCATTTTTGTTCAATAAGATACCAAACCAAGACAATTGGCTGAATCCTGTGAAATGTTTTCATAGAAGTTCATTGATTTCCTCTTTTTATAAAGTAAATCGACTTCGATTCTTGAATAATCAATATAACTTCTCTTTCGATTGTAACAAAAGATTCTCTTTTTATGGGGAAAGGTCCTATAATTATGATTTTATGTATGAACAATTCCTCAATGTCTTGTTCATTCGAAAGAAAAGATTTTCTTTGTGCGGCGGTAAAAAAACACATGCTTTTTTGGACAGAGATACTATTTCACCAAGCGAGTTAGAGGTCTCTAAGATATTGAGACCGAAGAATTTTCCGCAAAGTGGTGATGACGGATATGACTTGTACAAATCTTTCCATTTTTCAACTCGTGTTCCTAGATCTATTTACTCGATCGCGGACATTTCTGGAACACCTCTAACAGAGGAAGAAATAGTGAATTTGGAAAGAACTTCTTGTCAACCTCTTTCCCCTATTAATTTATCTGATTCAAAAAGGAAGAACTTGCATCAGTATCTTGATTTCGATTCAAACATGGGTTTGGGTTTGCTTGACACTCTATATTCTGAAAAATTTATACCATCCGCAAAGAGGAAAAAACCTCTAAAAAAATTCCTTGGAAAAGGGCAGATGTATAGAAACTTTCAAAGAAAAAGAAAAAGAAAGAGTATTTCTTCAATTCTCTCCAAATTGAAGCGATTACGCCCGTATATAATACCGTTGTTCCTTACCTGGACAGGGCACAAATATATCAATTTCATATTTTTAGATACTCTTTCAGACCTATTTGCGATACTAAGGAGGAGTCCTCAATTTAAAAAATTTGTATCTATTTGGCAGAATATTATGCATGGATCCAAGGGAAGTCTTCGGAAAAAACTGTGGGGAATTCTTCGGAAAAAACTGTGTCTTTCACAACGGAATCGTATAAGTGAGATTTCGAGTAAGTCTTTCCATAATTTTCTTGTAGACATGTACAAAGATCTTTTTCACACAAATAATGAGTCACCATTCATATCGACACATCTGAGATCACGAAATATTGAGGAGTTCCTGGTTTCAATCCTTTTACTTCTTCTTGTTACTGGATATCTTGTTTATACACATCTTTTCTTTGTTTCTCGCTTCTCTAATGAGTTACAGACAGAGTTCGAACAGGTCAAATCTTTGATGATTCCATCCTACATCATTGAATTGCGAAAACTTCTGGATAGGTATCCTCTATCAGAACAAAATTCTTTCTGGTTAAAGGATATCTTTGGAGTTGCTCGAGAACAATTAGGAAATTTTTTAGAAGAAAGGCGAGGTTGGCCTTCTGGCGGGGACATCCCAAGGGGTGGTGGTTTCGCTGATGGGGTCAAATCCATACGTTCGAAGAAGAACGGTTTTAATCTCATGGATCTCATAAGTATTATACCAAATCCCATCAATCGAATCGCGTTTTTGAGAAATACGAGACATTTAAGTCATACAAGTAAAGCAATCTATTCATTGATAAGGAAAAGAAAAAACATGAATAGTAATTGGATTGATGATAAAATAGAATCCTGGATCTCGACTAGTGATTTCATTGCTGATAAAGAAAGAGAATTCTTGGTTCAGTTCTCTACCTTAACGACAGAAAAAAGGCTGGATCAAATTTTATTGAGTCTGACTAATAGTGATCAGTTATCAAAGAATAACTCTGGTTATCAAATGATTGAGCAACCAGGAACAATTTACTTACGATATTTAATTGACATTCATAAAAAGGATCTGATGAATTATGAGTTCAATACATCCTGCTTAGCAGAAAGACGGGTATTCCTCGCTCATTATCAGACAATCACTTATTCAGAAATCCCGTGTGGGGCTAGTTGTTTGGATTTATCATCTCATGGGAAACCCTTTTCGCTACGCTTAGCCCTATCCCCTGCTAGGGGTATTTTAGTGATAGGTTCGATAGGAACTGGACGATCCTATTTGCTCAAATATCTAGCGACAACCACCTATGTTCCTTTCATTACAGTATTTGTAAACAAGTTCCTGGAGAACTTTCCTAAGGGTTTTGATAGTGATGATAGTGAGGACGACATGTTTGATGAAAGAGAGGGTACCATTTACAGTCTTTTACCTAATAACGAGGGTAGTTGCTATAATTCCGAGAATTATGAAAGGGATGATAGTGACGATCTCGACCGTAAGCTTGATAGCCAGTTGAAGTTTCTAAGTATGGAGGATCCGGTATCTAGCGATCTGATGGAAATAGACCGGTTTTATCTCACGCTTCAATTCGAATTAGCAAAAGCAATGTCTCCTTGCATAATTTGGATTCCAAACATTCATGATCTGGATAGGAATGAGTCGAATGACTTATCGCTGGGTATATTAGTGAACTCTCTTTCCAGCGATTCGGAAAAAGGTTCTACTAGAAATATTCTAGTTATTGCTTCTACTCATATTCCAAAAAAAGTAGACCCTGCTTTAATAGCTCCGAATAAATTAAATACATGCATTAAGATACGAAGGCTTCTTATTCCACAACAAAGAAAGCACTTTTTTACTCTTTCATATACTAGGGGATTTCACTTGGAAAAGCAAATATTCGATACTAATGGATTGGGGTCTATAACTCTGGGTTCTAATGTACGAGATCTTGTAGCACTTACTAATGAGGCGCTATCGATTAGTATTATACAAAAGAAATCTATTATAGACACTAATATAATTAGATCTGCTCTTCATAGACAAACTTGGGATTTTAGATCTCAGATAAGATCGATTCAGGATCATGGGATCCTTTTTTATCAGATAGGGAGGGCTGTTTCACAAAATCTACTTCTAAGTAATTGCTCTATCGATCCTATATCTATCTATATGAAGAAGAAATCATGTGCAGAGGGGGATTCTTATTTGTACAAATGGTACTTCCAACTTGGAACAAGCATGAAGAAATTAACCATACTTCTTTATCTTTTGAGTTGTTCTGCCGGATCGGTCGCTCAAGATCTTTGGTCTCTACCCGGACCTAATGAAACAAATGATGGGATCACTTCTTATAGACTCCTTGAGAATGATTCTGATCTAGTTCATGGGCTATTAGAAATAGAAGGTGCTCTGCTGGAACCCTCACAGACAGGAAGTCGGTTTGATAATGATGGCGTGACATTGCTTCTTCGGTCCGAACCAAGAAATCCCTTAAATATGATTCAAAATGGGTCTTCTTCTATCGTTGATCAGAGATTTCTCTATGAAAAATATGAATCGGGGTTCGAAGAAGGGGAAGGAGTCTTCGACCCGCAACCGCTAGAGGAGGATTTATTCAATCACATACTTTGGGCTCCGAGACTGTGGCGCCCTTGGGGCTTTCTCTTTGACGAAGGGTCCAATGAATTGAGATTTCCCTATTGGGAAGGGTCATTTCAGGACAAACCGATCCTTGATGATTATGATGAAGAGGGTAAGCTTCAAGAGAATGATAATGATTCGCAGTTCTTGCAGGATGGAATCATGCAGGACCAGACACGAGCGAGATTTTCCAACGAACAGGGCTTTTTTCGAATAAGCCAATTCATTTGGGACCCCGCAGATCCACTGTTTTTGCTATTCCAAGAGGATCCTTTTGGATCTGTATTTTCACATCAAGAATTTTCTCCAGATGAAGAGATGTCAAGGATACTTTTGACTTCCCAAACCCAAAAAATTGATTGGAAATATCTAAATAAACCCTGGTTTAGGAAGAATATGCAAGAACAGAATTTCAAATTGTTGATTGATCGCCAGAGATGGTTTAGAACCAATAGTTCAGTATCAAATGAATTTTTTCGTTCTAATACTCTATACGAGAGTTATCAATATTTATCAAATCTGTTCCTATCTAACGGAACCCTATTGGCTCAACTCACAAAGACATTGTTGAGAAAAAAATGGCTTTTCCCAGACGAGATGGTTGTGACTATCTGTTCCAATAACGAACGATTGGTTTAACTGAATAATGAAATGAAATAAAATAGATACTTTCTTTCTCGTCGTCTCAAGTCGATATTAGGGGATCTTCTCAATTGAAAGATCCCCTAATATTGATAATCCATATTGCCGTTGACCGAGCCTACTTGTTTTGAAGCAAATAAAGAGATCCACAGGGTAATTTGTCCTATTCAGATATTCACGACCAATAAGTACAGAATTTTCTTTCTTTTCGGATAGGTCCTGTCCTGAAAGGAGAAAGAAGGTTGACATAGGCGGCTATTTTGGAATTCACCCGACCCGAGCGTACAGTACCCATTTTTTTGAATGTCGAGTGCCAAAGTCATTGAATGGGTAAGTCACCAATCTCCAAAATCAAATATATAATGTACTTTATCCGTTGGTTTAGGGTAGGGGGATTGCAGGTGGGACGATTTCAAAATGTACTCTCCATTCATTAGATAGATAAGATCACCAAAACTTCGTGATCTGCTGGCGAACTTATTCCAATTCAATTTCAATAAGAGATCTCAATATTATGCCTTGAAGAGGACTCGAACCTCCACGCTGTTTAGCACGAGATTTTGAGTCTCGCGTGTCTACCATTTCACCACCAAGGCATCCTTAAAGGGAATCATATTCTCTGAATAAGATATCTATCTTATGTCATGGTTCAATATTATTATACTCCAATTCTAATCCAATTGCAACATAGAATACAACATCTCAAATAGAATACAACATCTCAAATAGAATACGGTACGATATAATACAGTATCTACTATATAATACAGCGAGAATAGAATTCTTTCTCGACTAAATAAATATAGCTTCTAGATGAACGAAAAGCTAGTCAAAGGGTCGATTCAAAATTGGTAGACGCTACGGACTTAATTGTATTGAGCTTTGGTATGGAAACATAGTAATGTTAAGTGAAAACATAACATAATATAATACAGCATCTACTATATAATACAACATGTACTATATAATACAGCGAGAAGAGAATTCTTTCTCGACTAAATAAATATAGCTTCTAGATGAACGAAAAGCAAGTCAAACGGGGGATATGGCGAAATTGGTAGACGCTACGGACTTAATTGTATTGAGCCTTGGTATGGAAACATATTAAGTGAAAACTTTTCAAATTCAGAGAAACCCTGGAATTTTAAATGGGCAATCCTGAGCCAAATCCTTCTTTCCGAAAACAAAAAACTAAAAGTTCAGAAAAAAAGGATAGGTGCAGAGACTCAATGGAAGCTATTCTAACAAATGGAGTTGACAACATTCAATTGATTAATGAAGATTTCTAACTTCTATTTGTAAATTGTAACTATTTTTTTTAGTTTTGATTCGATCACACTTGAAACGAAACATTAGAATCAAATCAATTCCAACTGGAAGAAAAAATGGTGAATATTCATTGATCAAATCAGTCACTCCACCAAAATATGATGGATCTTTTGAATAACTGATTAATCAGACGAGAATAAAGATAGAGTCCCATTCTACATGTCAATACCGACATCAATGAAAGTTTTAGTAATCGGAAAATCCGTCGACTTTAAAAATCGTGAGGTTTCAAGTCCCTCTATCCCCAAAAGCCGATTGAATTTGCTCATTTTTATGGCCCTTTCCCTTTTTTTATTGAGTTGACATAGACTCAAGTAATTTCCCTCAAATAGGATGGTGCGTCAAGATTTTAATGGTCGGATAGCTCAGCCGGTAGAGCAAAGGACTGAAAATCCTTGTGTCCACCAGTTTCAAATCTGGTTCCCGGCGACTCATTATGTATGAGTATCTATTCCCATATTTCTTTTCAAAAATCAAATATTGGGAGGAATAGATACATATTGATTAGTGGTCTTAATAATTATACATAATTTATCTAGGCGTACAGAGATATGCTCTTTCTAGATGAAAAAGGATCGATGTATATTCTAGGAAGTATGAAAATGAATGATTCTAGTTTGTTTCGATTTTTTTCTGCGATGCAATAACAAATGTTCATATTTCAACAATATTCAAATGGTTCAATTAGTTGGGTTGACGACCAAAAAGTTGAATCTAGCGGAGTTCATAGGTAAGAATAGTCAAAATTTATCTGAGATACATTATCAAAAAATATGGTCCATTTCTTTGTATTTTCTTTGATCGTAGCTTTTTTATTTTTCGTAGCCAGATATCTACTACTCGGAATAGAAATAGGAATTGACTTCATTATAGGACTTATTAATCTTGTAAAATTTTTAAAATATCGGGTAGGAGTCCATGCCGCTACTCGGACTCGAACCGAGATGCTCTAGCACTGCTTCCTAAGAGCAGCGTGTCTACCAATTCCACCATAGCGGCTGACTCGAAATCATAATAACCAATTATGTTAGTCAAAGTCAATAGTCAATCGTCGAGATTGAATAAAGTGAAGTCAATATTTATTGAGTACATTTCTTTACTATTTACTAAACATTTATTCTCAATTGATAATAAAACTAAATTGATAATAAAAAGTAATTTAATTTTTTCTAATATATAATAGAAATGAATATAGAAATATATGATATATGCAATCATTTGCAATTTAAGTAAAAAGAAGTTTGATTTCTATATTCATTTCTTTTTTTTTTTTTTCCCATGCAGTGTTCGTTTTCAAATTTAACAACGACGGGGAATGGGTTTTTTGTAGTTTATACTTTTTCAAATAAAAAAAAGCACTGTTTGAAACTAGAACTATCTAGTTCTGACTTCAATCCAGTAATGAAAAAGAAATTTTTTTTGTAGTTGCTTATGAATCATTCAAAAAAATGAGATTATATATATATCTAGAATATATTCTATATTCTATATATATAGAAATATATTCTAAATATATGTTTATATATGTTTCATATCTATAATAGTATTAGTATAAAATGACTATTAAAGAGATACTCTTTGAATCGAGCTAATTCAGAGTATTCTCGTCCAACATTTGTATTTCTTACAATAACACAACTTTTTTTTTTTACGTGGCAAAAAAGGGCGAGGTTTTGTATTTATTACAATACGATAACTTTTTGAGGTACCTGTCAAAATAGAGTCAGCTAATGAAAAGGCTTTCAATGCTGCCTTATATCCTTTTTTTTTCCAAAAATTCTTACGAATTTTTTTTTTTGATATAGAAGTGCGTTTGGTTTTGGAACTGGCATACAATTAGTATAGTTTTTTCGTTGCTATAGTTTGATGTGAAAGACATTTGTTCTGTAAATGAAAACGAATTATTCTGTAATTAGCCGTATGTCTTATCTATCTAAATTAACTCTTTCTCTTTTTTTCCATTCGAAAGGTAAAGTAAAACATTGACTATTATAAACCTTTTCCAAATTTTTCATAGATAATAGATATATATGGATCTCTTTTTATTGTAATGTAAAAGAATCAATTAGTTCAAAAAGGAACTAATGTTTCTGAATACAAAAAAAGTATTATTTTATATTTATTATTTTTCTAAAGTATATCAAAATAAACAAATGTTGTTAGTTTTGGTGTTGTACTGATTTATCCTCATCCTCGCTCTATAGATAAGAGATAAAAATTTTTATTTTACAATTATTAATAGTCATTTTTCTTACTATATATATAAATTAAAAAATAACTAACCTAACATAGGAATTAATAGTAATATTAATTAATGAATATATTACTGAAATACTGAAAATAATAATTATTATTTATTTTTTTCACTAGGAATTTTGTTATTGGCCAGTTTTGACTTTGTACTTTCCAATATGGGGACCATTGTGCAAAGATTCAGAACAATTAAGAATATCCAATTCTATTTCTATATCCACTTTTTTATTAACCGAGCCCCTTTACAAAAGATATAAAACAAACGAATAAGAAACAAAATTCATCAAGAATCTAAATATTTTTTATTCTTTCTTTTTGTATGGAATATACACATCAATCTTCATGGATCATACCTTTCATCCCTCTTCCAGTTCCTATTTTAATAGGGGTAGGACTTCTACTTTTTCCCACGGCAACAAAAAATCTTCGCCGTATGTGGGCTTTTCCTAGTATTTTCTTGTTAACCATAGTTATGATTTTTTCGATCGATTTATCTATTCAGCAAATCGAGAATAGTTCTATCTATCAATATGTATGGTCTTGGACTATAAATAATGATCTTTCTTTAGAATTTGGCTACTTGATCGATTCACTTACTTCTATTATGTCAATATTAATCACTACTGTTGGTATTCTGGTTCTAATTTATAGTGATAGTTACATGTCTCATGATCAAGGGTATTTGAGATTTTTTACTTATATGAGTTTTTTTAATACTTCAATGTTAGGATTAGTTACTAGTTCAAATTTGATACAAGTTTATATTTTTTGGGAATTGGTTGGAATGTGTTCTTATCTATTAATAGGTTTTTGGTTCACACGTCCTATTGCGGCAAATGCTTGTCAAAAAGCGTTTGTAACGAATCGTGTAGGGGACTTTGGTTTATTATTAGGAATTTTAGGTTTTTATTGGATAACCGGTAGTTTGGAATTTAGGGATTTATTTCAAATATTCAAGAACTTAATTTATAAGAATGAGGTAAATATTCTTTTTGTTACTTTGTGTGCCCTCTTGTTATTTTGTGGTTCAGTTGCAAAATCTGCCCAATTCCCTCTTCATGTATGGTTACCAGATGCTATGGAAGGTCCTACTCCTATTTCTGCTCTTATACATGCTGCTACTATGGTAGCAGCAGGAATTTTTCTTGTAGCTCGACTTCTTCCTCTTTTCATAGTTATACCCTCGATAATGAGTGGAATAGCTTTGATAGGTATAATAACAGTAGTATTAGGAGCTACTTTAGCTATTGCTCAAAAAGATATTAAGAAAAATTTAGCCTATTCTACAATGTCTCAATTGGGTTATATGATGTTAGCTTTAGGTATGGGCTCTTATCGAGCCGCTTTATTTCATTTGATTACTCATGCTTATTCAAAAGCATTGTTGTTTTTAGGATCTGGATCCATTATTCATT